AGGGAGGTGGGCTGAGGGGTGGTCCTGGGATGTGATATTAGCTCTGTTTACCTCCAGCATGGTGATGGTGGTGGCACTGGAGCCTTCGTCCCTTTCTACCTGGAATTTCATGGGTGGGGAGGTCAACCCTGGAGTCCCCCTGCAAAGCCAGTGGCCCTTGGGAAAAGGGGTGACAAAGGCCCTGGGGACAGAGCCTTGGGGAGAAAAGGGGTGACCAAGGCCGTGGGGAGAGAACCCTGGGGAGAAAAGGGGTGACCAAGGCCGTGGGGACACACCTTCAGGGACAAAGCGGGGACAAAACCCCTGGGGGAGCCCCCGGGTTGGGCTGGGGCTGTGGCAGTGCTGTCATTCAGGAATTGCCCCCAGGTGTGACAGTGCTACCCCAGGGAGGTGACACGGCTGTCCCTGCACGCTCTGCTGCCCTGGGTCACGCAGGTGACAAAAACAGCCTCAAAGAGCCTCAGAATCAGTGGCAGTGAGGAGCAGCCCCCCCAGTGACAGGGTTTGGGGGCTCAGAGTGTCCCCCCAGTGCCCCCCATCCTGCAGGGGTGGGGTGGGGTCTTCTGGGGGGGACACTGGGCAGGGCAAAGGCTCTTCCCAAAATCCAGGAACCCAATATCCCTGTCTGGGTTCTCCCTGCTGCTTCCACCCCCTATTCCATGGGGATCCAACCCCCAGGAGCTGTCTCACAGCAGAGAAAGGGTTTGAAACCACAGTGATGGCACATGGGGAAACCCTGCTGGGCTGGGGGAGCCCCAAACGGGGGGTTCAGGGCTGTTCCAAACCTCCATGGACACAGCAAGGCTCAGGGCGAGCGCCCCAGGCCAGGGGGAGGATTTGGGGCTGATCCCGGTGGTTTATCCCCAAAGCCCAGCGCTGGAAGGGCTATGGGGAGCACGGGCAGGAGGCTGTAACGCTGGGAGGGAAGGGAACGCCAGGAAGGAGGAACTTTGTGCTGGGAATTCCAGAGCTGGGAAAAGCAGGGGGCCGGCGTGGCCGGGGTCGCTGTGAGCTGGCAGCGTGTGTTCATCCCGAAGTAGCACTTAGTGAGTGAGCTTTGCTCAGTTTTTAAATAACACAGACAATTCCCGGAGGGGTGTGGGTGCTTTTTCCCTATTTTCCCAGGTGCGGGTCGTGCAGTGAGGTGGGGGCTTTTCCATCGGTGGGAAATCCTGCTGCTCTTCCTTGGGTGGGCAAAACACGGGCTGGGGGTACCAGGAGAAGGGGATGGAAGTGGTTCATGAGCCCACGGAGAGAGAGGAAGGTTTACAATCCAGGGAGGAAAAACCTCCGCTCCTCCTTCAGGAAAAGCAATCCCGTTCTCCTGGCGAAGCGATGGACAGTTTTCCCTGGGGATGAAGCCAGCGCCATTCCAGCAGAGGTNGATCCCAGGCAGCAAAACGCCAACGGCCTCGTGATTCTGGGTAAGAATGCCCACTTTTGGTCATTCTCCTCCACCTCAGGAGGGCTGTGTGAGAGCTGAGGCTGCCCAGGCTAACACCCAGCTGCACATCCCTTGGGAGTGCTTCCTTTCCCTATTTTTAGCAGGAACAGGGTGGTTTTGGACACAAAAGCCCCAGATCCCTGCAGGAGCACTGGCTGTTCTCCAGGAATCCTCCCTCTTCCTGGAACATCTGGGTTTTCTCTGCTTTACCAGGTTAGGGCAGGAGGGAAGCTCCAGCTCCTGGAGGAAATCCCTTTTTCTGCTGGAAAAAAGGGATTTCCTATTTTCCCAGTTTCGCTGTGCTTCCAGCAGGCCCCAGCGTCCCTGTGCCCATTCCCAACCCCGGGATGTAGGTCAGGTCCTTGGCAAGGGGGTGCAACACCCATCCCTGAACCGCCTGATCCCGGGCAGCTCCAAAGGGATTTTGCAAGGACCTGCTGGTCTTGTTTGGGATATGCTGGGAGGGAACAGGGATTTCCTCACCCAAAGGGCCTCGGGATGGCAACACAGCCCAAAAAAGTGGGATTTACTCGGGGTAAATCCCAAACTGCAGCTGGCTCAAAGATGAGCCTGTGACAAGATAATTTTCCTGGATAAGCAGGGCTGTGGAGATGGAGGTGGTTCCCAACATCCAAGGACAGGGAATGCTTTCATCCTTGGTGTCCTTTATCCCCTTCCTTCCCTCCCAAGCCATCTCAGGCTGGTGGAACAGCCCTGGAAATGCAATAATTGCCCCCAGCCCAGCTCCTGACACCCCCTGGCACTCACCTGTTCTTCTCCATCTCATTGTGTGTCGACCTGGAAGAGAAGGAAGGAGTTATTAACTCCTCTGGCTGATTGGGGATTAGCACTTGGGATTAACGTGTGGGAATTAGCAAAGGCTCCCTGCAAAAGCTGCACACCCAGGGGGCTCCCAGAGCTCCACACCCAAGCGTGGTGAGTGCCAGCAAAAGGGTCAGGAAAACCATGAAATGGGATTTTAAACCTGCGACTCCTGAGTTTTAGAGCTGGGGTTGGGATCAACAGCTCATCCCTGCCCCTCAAACCAGGAATATAAATTGGGAAAAGCCTTCCCTCAAAAAAAGCACAGAGCAGCTCTGGAGCTGCTTTCCAAACACAGGAAACCCACAACAAACCCCCCCGAAGCTCCCAAATTCCACAGAGCTGGGAAAAGGTGGAAAACAATCCAGGGCTGGCTTTTTCTCCACTGAAATCCAGGAGGAAACCACAATCCCAGGGAGGAGCTGCTTCCCTGCCCTGACTTCCCAACACCTCCAGAAACGCCACTCCAGTTTGGGGAAAATGTTGTGATGTGCCTGAAAATATAAATTGGGAATAACCCAGGGGCTGTTGGGATGGGGATTTCTACTGGGATGGCTTGGGGGGGTCTGGGAGTGC